AAATAAATTTAAAATAAGAAATACTTATTTCTATTAATAATTTCTTAATACTTAAATCAATTAAAAATTTTTTGATTAAAAATTTATTATAGTATTAAATAAATAAAATATAAAAACAAACCCGTTGCACGGGTACAAAAAAAAAAACTAGTATTGCTTAATAATATTCTGATTATATTAAATTTCTTACTAATTATTTTCAAATTGCACTTCAATTAACAAATAATAATCTGACTTATACATCTACAAATTATTAAAGTTGAAAACAACTTAGCCAAATATAAAATTTGACTTCTACTTCATTTATATGATGTGCTTAGAGTAAATACACTTTATATTTATTCAAAACGGCACACAAAATTGATTCTTATCTGATACATTATTCTAGGACTAAGGAAATAATAATTAAAATGTAAACAATAATGAATAAATGTATATCTTTATTATGATTACTAAAATATAAGAATTATGAATGACTAAAAATTATAGTACGTATCATCAATGTATATCAACTTGAAAGACCAATTTGACAAGTACGAAAAGGGTTCTAAACACCAAAGCGTAAGAGATAAATAAGAGCACTTATATGAAATCTAAAAATAAAGAAAGTGCCTATGTGAGAATCTAAAAATGTTTTGACATTCTTTTTATCAAAAATTTAACTAGTAAAAAATTATGAAAATGGTAAAATAAAAGCCCTTACAAGTTTTTAATATATTCATTAAGACAAAAAGTTAAATAATTCTAATATACAGACAACAATAGTGAGAGGAAAAAAATTAGGGTAAAAATGATGTATAATAATAAATAGAGATGCAATGAGTGCTAAGAAATAATAATATTTATGGAATTATGATAAGGGAAAAAAGATTAAAAACAAACAAATTATTAATATATAAACAAAAATTAGGGTGAATGTAGACTAGATAAAAAATAATAATGATAAAATGTGAGAGAATAAGCTAAGAGATAAAGTCCCAAGAATAATTAATGAAATGTAAATTATAGGTAAATGATACCAACAGAGAAAAAAAATTGTGTGTAGAACAAGAGATATATTTTGATAGATAAAGATTTAAATAAATGACTAAAAAAGAATAATAAAGATGAGAGGATAATGAGAGAAAAAATAATAAAGAATAAATTACTAACATAAAGAGGGAAAAGGAAAGAAATAATGTAGCATCTTTACCTTATATTGGTTAAAACTTATAACACTGAAGATATGTGTATATATAAAGTTATTGCATATAATATTAAATTCTTTGTAATATTAAGAATTTATATATTGCTATAATATTGTGAAAACAAAAAATATCTAATGATAGAAATGGTACAATTGAGTAAAAAGATATATAATGAAAGATGAAGATACAAAGGTTGACTAAGGAAGAATAATAGAGAGAGATGGATAAGAGAGAGAATAATAACAAATAGTTACTAATATAGAGAGAAAATGTGATAAGCATAGTGAGAAAATGTAAGAAGGTAAGTTAAAAGATGATGTCATAAGAAAAATTAAGGAGGGTTGGAATAATGATACATAAGTAAAAAAAA